GTTCATCTTCGGAACACAATTTAAGATTACTTTTGATGAAATCTGAGGGCTCTGTGACCCTCCCATAGACAGCAAGGTAACTACCACGTTCAAGGTCCAGAAAAGTCGTTATTTTTGTTTTCTTTGCGCAAAAAAGTATTCTCGTAAATTCGTAACTTTACAGTTGAACCACTGATGTCACACTTTGTCGATCATCTTGGTACTTTTCTGGACCTTGAATGTGGTAGTTACCTTGCTGTCTATGGGAGGGTCAGAGAGCCCTCAGATTTCATCAAAAATATCTTAAATTGTGTTCCGAAGATGAACGAAGGTCTTACGGGTTTAGAACAACACGAGGGGGAGTAATTCATGACAGAATTTTCATTTTTGGGTGAACTAACCCTTTTAGTTTGCATTAAAAGTGTAAAGTGTCATCATTTACTCACCCTCAAGTTGTTCCAAACCTGATGGAGTTTTTTTTCTTCTGTTGAACAAAAATATATTTTGAAGAATGTTTTGAACCAAACAGTAGCTGGTAGCCATTGACTTCCATAGAATGGGAAAAAAAATACTATGGAAGTCAGCCTCTACCAGCAACTGTTTGGTTACCAACATTCTTCAAAATATCATCTTTTTGTTCAACAGAGGAAAGAAATTCATACAGGTTTGGATCAACATGAGGGTGAGTTAATGATGACAATTTTCATTTTTGGTTGAACTATCCCTTTAAAACATTGATAAATATTAATTCTGATGGTTTTGATACTTTTTAATTAGAGGTAATGAGTATGATGGTTGTCTCCTAAACCTACTAAGATTAAGATCTAGTTTTCTTCACAAGCTCTCTAACTTATTTCATTCTCTGTGACATTTTGAATGTCATCAGGGTTTTTGGCACAATTTACTTGCATGCCGCATGCATTAAAAGCACTTTTTTTCTCACAGGATATTGCACTGCATACAACTGACTGTCTTTTACTCTAAGCGTCTGATAATGTGTGCTTCTCTCCCACAGATTATAATGGCCAAGCCGGCTGGTGGACCCAAAGCTCCTCAAGGAAAGAAGGACTGGGATGAGGATGAATGATGTCACTAACCTGTGTGTCTCCCTGTCACCGTCTTAGCTTTTCAAGTGTTGTGTATTTAATATCTAGCCCCCATTCTTTTTGTATTATTAGAAGCCATCCACATTAACAATGAGTGGCTCTGAGCTCTTATTCTGGTCCCAATAAAGGCACTTGAGCTGTCAGCATCTTTGTCATTTATTTTAAATAATGCTTGAACAACAAAATGCAGCGTAATTGTTACAGTTTGACATTCTTGAAAACGTATTAAACTTGCTTGTTGAACTCTGAGTTACAACATTTAGGCACACACTGACAGATTATCTCAAAGCCACTTAAAGAATGGCTTTTATGGAATATAACTGCAATTTTCCTTCCAGAAAATCTGTGTAATTACAGTAGCTAAATTTGCAGCTATTATTTATGTAGTTACATCAACATGACAGTGTATTGTAGTGATGGGAATCCTTGCAGCAGCATTTTTCTGTAGATGTTATTGGATTATCGTTGTACTAAGTTCATTCACCCCTTTCTTACCCAAAATGACATACTGAGATCAATGAAGTGTTGACAACCATTTTGTTCTTGCAGTAGTTTTAGTAATATTACAGAGAGAGCATCCACATAAAGAGGATGTGTACTTTACACCATCGCCCTCTGCTGTTGTTTTTGGAGCACTTCACTTCAGCTCCAATATCTACAGATTATTTGAATGAAAAATACATTTGTAAATCATGGGTGGTTAGTGTAGGTCGGATTACATAATATAAATATATATAAAATTTAATTCGTTTTATATTTTACGTCAGATAGATAGATATATTTGCTAGCTATTAATATTTTGTCTGTTTATTAACCAAGTCGAATTGTAGCAATGCATAAAATGTAATTTACGTTTTGTTTTATGACTTTGGTTTATATTTTTTATTATGTGTATATATATATAGAGAGAGAGAGAGGTGTATTTGTTAAATGTTACAGGGATGCCAATATGTGTCTGTCTTTGTGTTTATGCAAGATGAATTTCAACAGAATGCGCACACTAATAATAGCAATGCATAGAAGTTCATTTACATTGTATTTTATGACATTGGTTTATATTTTAAAGCCAACGTCATTCGAAAACTCCCATCTACAAATAAAATAAATATTTTGTATATTCAATGTGAGGATTTTTATTATTTCAGTAGCTGAATTATTAATATTAGAATGAATGATTATATAATCTATAAAGGAATCTATTTACTGTGGAAACAATAACTGGCAGTTACGGCAGGGTTGTTAATCCTAATATCCATTATCTGCCCTCCCCGGGAGCGCGCTTGTTGCAAGAAACCGTGGACGCGCGCTCCCGCGGTGCGGTGCTGCTTAAACATGGCTGCTCTCAGCAAGTCCATACCGCATAGCTGCTATGAGTTAGGACACACTTGGAGTCCCTCATGTACGACCTCCACCCTGCAGGTGACAGCCGGCGCTCTGGAGGTCTCCTTCAAGATATATGCTCCTCTGTATCTGGTGAGTGTTTCAGCGCGGATCTATCCGTTCATTCACCGGGCAAGGGCGCAGTTAACCTGGCAGCTACATCAGAGTCCTGCAGGACGATGCGAGGCCCGTAATAGTTGCTAAGTTATTTAGAAATAAACATACAGACGTGGGTCTCAACCCGTCATGTTTTACATTTACTAGCATTCAAAGTAAAAACAAAATGTCGTTAGACTGATGACACGGTCAGCTAAGCGATAGAGAGCTGCTGGTTGATAGTGATAAAACTGTCCAATGACACTGCGCAACTTTTTAAGCACTTTTGCTTTTTGTTTCGTTCTTTTGAATAATGTTGTGAATTAAAATTATGCGTGTCGCACTTAATTTGATGATAAACTGCCTGGTTTGTCTATTAGATTTGCACAGTCATTCTCATTAAACCGAAAGTCTTTACCATTGCTCGTAACCGAAGCTTGTTTGGTAACGTAGCAGATTTAAGTTGAGATGCTTTATTTAACTGGTATTTCCACTGGCTCGCATTAAATAGTTATGTCGGATTCGTGAACAAATCTGTTTTTTTTTTTCAGTGAACCGATTTAAACGATTCGTTCACTGAATGGTTTGACCTCATTAAACTGGTCATTAGCAATGTTTCGTTCTTGAATGAACTGTTAATTTCAGTCTGAACTATTTTTATATTGTTTTCTTTTTGTATTGATTTATTATATTGATATATTTTATAGGCTGTTGAAACTGTTTAAATGTTTTTATTTTAGACATATCCCATTCATAATGATCAAATCTAGAACTGAGCGAGCGGAGTAGAAAATATGAGGTTAACTGAACTTTTGACTGAACATTGATGAAAAGTCCTTTTTATAGCATAAGTATTACAAAAATATATAGAAATGTGTGGAACTTTTTGAACCAGTTCTGTTCAGAAGAACCAAATTTAAGTGCAGAAACCTTCTGGTTATGAGCCCTGAGCTTTAGCCACTATTCCACTTAACCTCAAGTTGTTGGCTAAATGCCACTTTAGTAAATTTATTCATCAGAATAAGAGAATGTTATCTTGTATTTATTTGCCTGTGATGACTTAGTATAACTGGCCGTCAGTCTTTATAGATCTGACAGAGGGATCATCATTGTCAACTTTGGATGTGTCATTAGCTTCCATTACAAAACTGCAGCTCAAAGTTGTGCAACAGCTGAAATGTTTTGTTGTAGAATTGGCATTCGATTTAGTTTTGCAGAAACTATGGCTCAGTCTATCATTAGACAGTAGGTCAGTGGTATTTGGGTGACAAACCATAGAGCGCTACCTACAGAAACCTATGTGTTGCTTGAGTTACAGCCAATGTCATTTTGTAACACAGAGAAAAACTAATGCACTGAGAGCTTGAGTAAAGTCAGAAATGGATTTCCCTAACACGCAATTGAATTTTTCTGAGTTCCAGATTGCAGCCATTTTAAGAAGGAGGAAAAAGGATTATTACAAGAAAAGGCTGCTTCCCGAGATCCTGCAGTCCACGTCTTTCCTGACTGCAAATGGAGGCCTCTACATTGCGTTTTTCTGCATTCTCCGGTAATCTGAACAAAATTCTGCTAACGAGCAATTCTTGGAAACATTTGCCATCCCATGTGTGCAGCTGTTCGAACACGAGCAACCTTTGAATCCCTGTCCTTATCAGCCGCTTAAAGTCTACGTACATATCTGTCCAAATAGGATTGTAAAGACCTTTGACACATCAAATACATTATGTACAGGGATTTATGTCTGGCGTTCCGCATGACCGGTCCACTCACCTAATTTGTGAATTAATTATTTGGATTATTTATTATTTTATTCCCTTCTAAATGAAACAAATATTCAACCGTAATATTGTCCTCAGTTGAAAGCACGTCCATTAGCTTATAATTATAAATGACCAGCTAGCCTTTCCATTGTTTCCTCTCTTTTTCCTCTGTTACTCAGGAAGCTGTTGGGGCGTTTCTACTCCTGGTCAGCTGGGTTTGGGGCGGCACTGCCAGCCTCATACATCGCCATACTAATAGAGCGGAAAAGCAGGTTAGCCCTGACATTTCATCACAGATTTCCTTTGGCCTTTCTTTTATACAAATTTTATACAAATTATCCAAAGTTTAAACCAAATTTACACTGAACTTGCATAGGGAAATGTACTCTAATGGAAAAGAGTTAAAGGTGCTGTATGTAAGTTTTTGACTCTACTAAAGCATAAAAATACCATAATATGTTTGCAGATATTTAAGAAACATGCTAAGTTAACATATTTGTTTATCTGAAAAACAATGCTACAGTCAGTTATTCTCCTATGAAAATATGCGTTCCAGGCCGGAATGTCTGTCTCTGTTTTGGTTTGTGAAACCCACCCACTGCCAGTTTACCCAATTGTATTTCGGCACCCCGGGTTGCCAGTTGGCGGGAAACACAGCGTGTTTAATTTCAGTCATGGAAGCTGGCAAACGAAAGTGTTTGTGTCGTCAAGCTGGCAACCTGCGTGTGCATCAAGCCTGAGGAGGAGGGACCTGGTGAAAAAAACCCTCTCCAATATTTTGAATTTGGACTGTAATACCTAGTTCAACCACTCGGTGTCAATCCTACATATAGCACCTTTAAGGCCCATTCACACCAAGAATGATAATTAGAACAATAACCAGTGTTGGGGGTAACTCATTACAAGTAACGCGAGTTACGTAATCAGATTACTTTTTTCAAGTAACTAGTAAAGTAACGCATTACTTTTTAATTTTCAAGAGAATATCTGAGTTACTTTTTCAAATAAGTAACGCAAGTTACTTTTTTTTTTTCAATTTATTGATTGACAGCTCTTCTGTCCCCATGTTGAGAGAAATCCGAATATGTTGCTGTAGATCTAAAATATATATGAATATGCATTAATTCATCTCACTCACACAAAAAAAAACAGATTCAGTATTCCTCAAAATGAATAAAAATAATGCAACTCAGAATATGACGCAAACCTGCCATAATTAAATGTTAAACAACACAAATATCCTTTATGTATTTAATCCCATTCTATTAAGCAATGTCTTTGCTTCTGACCTTCGATGATTCAGTTCAACCATACTAATAAGCAAAAATCATTCTAAACAAACAAGCAAGCCCTGTCCAGATTTTAAAAGTAACGCAAAAGTAACGTAACGCATTACTTTCCATAAAAAGTAACTAAGTAACGTAATTAGTAACTTTTTTATGGAGTAACGCAATATTGTAATGCATTACTTTTAAAAGTAACTTTCCCCAACACTGACAATAACTATATTCACGTCCACACCAACAGAAGGTTACGTTCGGTTTATTGTAGGCATGCGCTACAGTTTTGTCATCTGCCACTTTTAATGCTCAAGCTCTTCAGTCGGGTAGATTCTGATTGGCTAACGAGTACGAGTACGAGTACAGGAGACCAGTATCGGGCCCGATACCGATACGCATCCCTACTGTCAATGTTTATATCGTTCATCAGCTGAAAAAAAAACGCTCTGAATGTGATTTCTATTATGTTGTTCCTCTGTGTTGTCATTGTTATAGCTGCTGTGTGGACTTCACAGTTAACATGAATTAGAACAATTGTTAAAATTATGTTGTTATAGTTTCCATCCTTGCTGTGCATACAGTGAACAAGTAGGCTAATAGTGCAAAATGATGTTGCAAAACCTCAATTAGTTCTTATATAATTTGTCTTTCTTCTCATTCAGGAGAGGACTCCTAACAATTTACATGGCGAACCTGGTAAGACGATTCAGCATTGCTTCTTTTCAGTTCCGCTGCATTATTTCTTGACAGTTCTTTCATAGTTGCATGACCATTTCCTGGCAGTAGTCAGCATCACATCTGTTATCCGTCACTTATGTTACTTTTTCTGGAAAGCTGTGATCAAAACAGTCTATTTCAAGGAAACCTCGGGTGATTTTGATCTAAAGTGCTCTGTGTCATTTCCAGGCAACGGAGACGATTTTCCGGATGGCTGTCACAAGGGGTCTTGTTAAGCCTATGAAACACGGAGAGGTACGTTACAGTTCATGCTTGGGGTTAGGGTAAGATTTTTTTTTCTTCTTTAAAAAAAAAAAAAAAAATTAATACTTTTATTCTGCAAGTAGGCATTACATTGATAACAAGTAACAGTAAAGACATTTATAATGTTAAAAAAGGTTTCTATTTCAAATAAATGCTCTTCTTTTGAACTTTTCATTCATCAAAGAATCCTGAAAAAGTGTATCATGGTTTCAAAATATGAAGCAGCACAACTGTTTTCATAATGTTTTAAATTGTGATATTTCATATTACTGTTTTTACTGTATTTTATATCAAATAAATGCACCTTTTTTGTGCATAAGAGACTTCTTTCGAAAACAAAAAAAAATCATACTGAACCCAAACCAAGGTTAGTGTATCTGGACCTTATTACATCATGCACTGAGATCATTTAGTGCTAATGATGCAACCCCACTTTACATACTTGCAAAAGCATTATTACTTTGAACTAACCTTGACCTGATCATAAAGTTTCATGTGATGTCTGTCTCATAATTTCCACTTTTTTTCCAGGTTCTTCTCTTCTGCTTGACTGCATCTCTCTACATGTTTTTCTTCAGGTCAGTTGGTCAGGTTACTGCCTCTCAATCCTGGTCCTGGAGGACGCCAGCCCTGGTTATCTTATTTCTTCAACACATCAAGTTCTCATTAGTAGAGGCTCCTCCGAGACTTGCTGAGGTCCTCCAGGAGCAGAATTGAGATGGACAGGCACACTCTTCAGAACAAATAAAAACCTAGTTGTTCAATTACAAACATTGACCCTTTTAACTTTCCAATTTCTGGTTTTATCTTCAGATGTAAAGATGGACTGAATGGCTTTGCATTCTCTGCCTTGAAGTAAGTTTATTTATTGATTTACATGAATTTATGTAGTTCTTAAATTCCCAAGGATTTGTCATTAATCCTTAAGGCCCTAGGAAACACCCTGTTCGGAGCATAATCAACTCGTGTCAGACTGTTAAAGGAGATTATGTGTCTGGCTGCGGCAGATTTATAGTTGGCAAGGAGGAGATCCCAACACACCCTTGTCTGGCTGAGCACGTGTACGAACAGGGTTCGGAGAGAGACGCACAGCCACCGGATGAGAGACTGGAGCACACGCCTGCCTCCAGGGGGAGCTGCATCAGAGCATTTACACGCAAACTCCTAGACTCTATGTGAGTGAGCGAACTATACCTATGAAACACACACATACATATATATTTATATAAGACTATGGTATTTTTGACAGAAAATTTTATTCTATCCAAAACCACCCAAAAAATTCTTATAGAATTATACATGTTAAGTTTTTATTTTTTAGGACTTTCAAAGTATGAAAAATGTTAATAATAATAATTGTAACTATTAATTTTTATTAAATGTGTGAGAACAATGTTATTTTACACAGTAATAAATACAATTTAAAACCAAATCTCCACATATATTTGGGAGGAAATTATATACTAAACTACACAACACTTATTAAAAAGTTTAATCAAAGTTTAGGTTGATAGGATTTAAAAAAAATATATATTTTTGAAAGTAAAAACAGTAATATTGTGAAGTATTACTACAGTTATAAATACATTTTTTTTCTATTTTATTATATTTTGAAATGTAATTTATTTCTATGATGGCAAAGATGAATTTTCAGCATCATTACTCCACTCTGCAGTGTCCTTCAGAAATCCTTCTAATATGCTGATTTGCTGCTCAAGAAACATTTCTTATTATCAGTGCTAAAAACAACTGTGCTTCTTAATATTTTTATGGAAACAGTAATAGTTTTTCAGGATTTTTTGATTAATAGTGTTCAAAAGAATAGCATTTATTCGAAATAGAAATCATTTGTCATATTATAAATGTCTTTAGTGTCACTTTAATTTCAATGTAATCTATATAAAGTTTCCTTGCGGAGTAAAAGTATTAATTTCTTTAAAAGAATTGTGACCCCAAATGTATACAACAATAGTAGGTAAAAATGGTGTTTGACTTTCATTTGACACTTGGAGTTCATTTACGGTCCTGCTTGTTTAACATTCAGCTTCATTTTCATGCATCAATGTTCCCCTGCCTCATAACACATTGTTTGCATTCATTGTGTGTGTGTTGTCCCCTTTAGATGCAAACATGGACCCAGGCATAGATGTTGCAAACACTATCAAGACAACTGCATCTCCTACTGTGTTAAAGTAAGAGTCTGAGACCTCCTAACCTGCTGTCTTTCAAACCACTCATCTGTTTGTTCTGAGCGTTTGTGTTTGAATGGGAGAGAGACCGAATGTGTGTGCATAAACGTGTTGCGTGTATCTGGGTTAAAGGCTCTGTCGATATAGGAGTGCCCTTTGCTCACTAACAGAAAGTTGATGTGAAGTTGTGAGATGTTTTCTGGAGAGCAGCTTCTGAGATGCTTTGTTTGTGGCTTTGTGTTTTTGAAGGGTTTCATCCGAATGTTCAGCGTGGGTTACCTCATTCAATGCTGTTTGAAGGTTCCATCAGTATTCAGACAGGCCTTTACAAAACCCTCTCGACTGCTCTGGCTGCTCTACAACAAAGAAAACTTCCAGCTAGGAGCTTTCTTGGGATCTTTTGTCAGTATATACAAGGTACTAAATCTCCACTAAGATCCAGTGCTGTTTTTTTCTATGAGATAGCAAGTTCCTCTGAAGCTTTTAGGGGGTTTTGTTTTCTTCACCCTTCTCAGTAACGTTTTTTTCAGTTGTGAAATTTGTCTCTCTCCATCTCACTTCCATTTTATGAAAAAGGGCACAAGCTGTTTACTGAGATGGATGCGTAACCTGGACGACGAGCTCCATGCTCTCATAGCAGGTAAAGAGTGTTTTGAACTCTTTTCCCTTTGCACAGCCATTAGAGGTTCTCAAATCACCGTTTTCTACATTTATCTTTTCAGGTTTTCTTGCTGGCACCTCAATGTTCTTTTACAAGAGCACCTCCATCTCCATGTACCTCTTCTCCAAACTGGTGGAGGTAATGATTATCTGGCTTTGTAGTGATTTCAAATGAGTAGGGCTTGCTTCTCAATGATTTCTCTGGTGTCTCAGAGAATTGTGAATAGACCAAATTTAAAGAGTTCCCCAAAAATGTAAATTCTTTAATCAGTACTTATCATAATTTCTTCATTCAATAACACTAGACCTGTGAAGATGCAAAACTGACAAAAAGCAGAATGAATGTATTTATATAAAACAAATTAGAAGTTTAAAACGAGGATTTGTAAAGAAAAATGTCAGAGGATTTCGATATAAGCCAAGAGGAGACTGGTTTTCCTTTGCTAAACAAAGGAAACTTTGCTTCCTTTGTGCCTATAAACAAAACTTGGTTCTCACGAGACTAGCATATTCTCCCTCATTCACTGCTATTATAAAGCTCGGAAGAGCCAGGACATTTTTTAATATAACTCTGATTGTATTAGTCTGAAAGAAGGAAGTCATATACACCTAGGATGGCTTGAGGGTGAGTAAATCATGGTGTAAAGGTTCAATAAATATTCTGATTTCAAAAAGATTTTCTGTACGGGTTGCAATATAAAATGTATAAACATAATATATGTGTATGTATAGTCTACTAATAATCTATTGACTGTCTTTTTAGACTATGTATTTCAAAGGGATCGAGGCAGGCAGGTTTCCGTACTTCCCTCACGCTGACACAGTAATCTATGCCATCTCCACTGCCATCTGTTTTCAAGCGGTAAGTTTAAAATGTTTTTAAAATCTACCAAACTAAAAGCATCTTCTGCATACCAAGGACACTTTTACACCAAGGGAAAATACAAACCACATTAAAATGCAGAAGCCGTTTGTGCCAGTGTGACTTATTGATGACTCGGTCATGAACTGATTGAGGATCAAGCCACGTGTGTTTTTAATTTAACGAAAGACAGCACAAGCACACTTTAAAAGCCAAACAAAAATAAGTTTGTCAGGTTTTAAATTATAAGGAATAGTTTTGCTGTGCAAAATTAAGACCTGAACATGCTAGAAACATGCTCATAGGTGAATGATTTTGTTTAATATGTCCTGGGTGGATCTTATCAGGCGGTTATGGAAGTGCAAAATCTGAGACCATCGTACTGGAAGTTTCTACTGCGGTTGACGAAGGGCAGGTGTGTATTAGTGGAAAATATGATTGATAAGTCTCATTATGCATATGAATCCTTAAACACATCAAGTTATTGATTTCTCTGTCCAGGTTTGCTCTGATGAACAGAAAAGTGCTTGATGTTTTTGGGACCGAGGCTTCCAAACACTTTGGTGACTTCACGCCTAAACTTGACCCCAGATACGTGCTGTGTCCCATCGACATGGACGTGCAGCTGGGCTGACAGGCCCGTGGGTATCTGCGAAATGTCTTCCCATAGACCAACAATGACACAAAGGCACGAAAAGCTCTTGCACACGATCTCTCTCCTATATTCTCTCGCCCTGGCGCTCTATGTCATTAAATGTGAAGTGAAAGTGTGAAGTGCGTATATGTTTACGTTGATGTAGATCTGAAACATTTTGCAATGTAATTACCGCAGGCAAGATGTGACCTCTATGTACTGTACACACGATATCAGCTTCGGTTTGTCTGAAGATGATCTGAAATTCATAGGATAATGATTGCTTATTGGATTTTCAAAGACAGAATGACATAGCAGGAATGTGTTCATGCTAACTCAGCTATTCCTGGACTGCTTGGGATCTGACCTGCGATCTCTGTATTTCATAGTCCGCAGCATTAACTAATCAGCTTTGAGACTATAAAATGTGTTTTAAATTTTTTTTGTTTGTTTGTTTTAGGTAGGAAAGTACAGAGACAGATTTTTACAGCACAGTCAGGCACCTCAGAAGGATATGCTGGATTATTTTTGGTCATTGTCATTTTAAATCCTACCAAAAATGATCAAATCAGTAATTAACTGTCTGCCATAGTCAGGATATGCGGGTTAAGCCATGTAAAAGGACCTTACTGACATCAGGGTTGTGTATGATCTCTTTTTTGTCTTTAGTGTGCTCTGCGTTCTTGTTCAGATAGGAATATATTGAGACCTTCTCATAAGTACAGGTTTTTATGGAAAGTTATTAGTACAGAATTTAACATTTATTACCCACCTATTATTGCAGATTTAATAGTCACAGATATTCTTTCAGGAGAGAAAAGCAGATTAAACCAATCTTAATGGACTTTCACCTTCACTTTCAGTAGGAGAGCTTTTTTTTTTAAATGATCAATAACAATATAAAGAAAAATCTGACAATATAATCAAAGTGTTGCTGTGTATTTGAAATGTAATTTATGTAAAAAGAAAGAAACCCTTATGTCTTCGATGTCTGTATAAAAGCAAAAGCTTTATATTAAACACATTCTGAAGAAATAAGGTTCTAAGAGTGTTTTATTTAATTACATCTCGCATTACGACAATGTAATTGTGACCCTTTTTAAAATTTTATTTTTAATTTTTTTTATAACTAAACTTTTTATAGTGCCTTTTTCTTGTACAACATTTTGACATTTTGTCCCTCCTACATTTTGTTTTGGGTTGAATTGACAGTTTGACAGAGATGCTATTTAGATGAGTGATACATTGCAAATGTTACTGATTTGTGTAAATGTCCACTGGAGGGCGATGTTATACTGTTTAAATCGCAGTTCATCCACTATTTCAATCCATCAGTGCTCTAAATAGTTTACAAACAATAAGAGTGCTTATTTCCATGTAAACAGAGCTCAGAATAGCATTATCTTTACTACGTGTAGTACACCTGCATTTGTGTTCTGTTTAAATGCTTAATACCGAATCTTTGTTTATATGCATCCAAAAATACAGACTTTTTAAAACGTATATTTGAATCGCATCTTAATGTATATGGCCTTAGAGGATAATATTCTGTAAGTGTCCAACGAGGAGAGGCTTTTCTCATTGTTGCCCTTCGTATTCAGTTCACATGATCCTGACGCAGCACAAACTGTCCGCGAAATAGTTACAAATGGCTTTGTCTTGTCCTCTCACTCTCTCATTGTCTTCGTCTGCAGAGAAGCCTTTGTGTGTGAAATGTTTCTCAGACTTTACCTTTCTGTTCAGTCTCCGTCCCTCGGAGAGATATAGACTCTCAGTCCTGAGAGGATCTGCTCATGCCTGCGTACAAGGGAGTGAACAATGATTCATTCGAACTGGCAGAGAAGTGAAATCTCAGAGCCGCCCAAAAAAAGATACTTGACCTCCAAAGTACATTTATTCGTTTGCCAGACTTTCAAACTCGCAGTGCATTTAAAGAGCATATTTTTTTCAGTATGTGTTTTGGAATCGAGCCCATGACTTTGACGTTGCTGACGTCATCAGCTGAGTTAGGTATAGAAATAAAATTACATACACTGAGAAATGAATTCCATTTCTAGATCCATTGGAAAAGCTCTAGCTGATGATGGAAAAGGAGTAGAATTAAATGTGAGATGCTTTTAAGACTGCCCTTGCTGCTTCTCCAAGGAGAAATATTCAGTTGTTTTTTAACCGCAGAAACAGACTTCATCTGAAGGACAGATATCCAGATATCCGTTTATTGTTGTTGTTGTTGTTATAAGTTAAATTAATTAAATAAAAAATTTAATTGAGTAAGGGAATACAGAAAAAGAAAGACAATTATAAATAATTGTATTTTAAAATACGAGAGTGAATGTGTGCAGAATAAACGGAAAATGCTTCTTGTCTTATTCAGTTATAGCCTACCTGAATAACGCAAATGATCCTATATTTTCCATTCAAAACGGCGAAATTTGACAAAATGTCCAGTAGTTTGCATTACAGGATATTACTGCTTGTCATTTTACACTTCTATCATAAAACAGTTGTCAAATATGAGCTACTTTCATCTTTCCTCACAAGCGTCGTGCTGGATTCATAATCGGCTTCTGCGAACACTAAAGCCCGCCATCTTTGATTTGCTTGGCCATCCCAGTCATTTTGACATTGATGAGTGCTGTAAGACATCTGAGACAGAGCAGCCTAAACATTTAACTTTTAAAACGTTGTCGTAAACAACAAACAGGGCATCAATATCAAATATAATAAGCGACAATTTGCCCATTTCTAATTATTGAGGACTCATCCCCCTAAATGTCTTTTGTGGTCTAATTTCATCTGATGGGAAAACCATATTTAATTGTGCCAGTATTTTTACAATGACCTTCAGCTTATATCACATGGTAGATGTAGCAAACTTTCTCTTGATCCACATCCTTCATGCTGAGATTTCCCGCAGGGCCTTTAAAAATAACTGGTTGATCTAGAAGTTTCAGTGAGCACTTTTCAGGTGCTGGCCAATCAATCATTTTCAGCTGTCTCCATGGCAACTGAATCTCATCAAACAGTGTGAAGTACCTCCGAGGATGAGAGTGTGAATATGTGCGGCCAGAGTGTGTATTTATTGAAAATCATACTGTACGTGCAGCAGCTGAGCATTACTCAAAATGTGCAGAAGCTGCAACATTTCACCTTACAAGGTTACTAGGAGGGCTGCAAACTCTCTTTGTCTCAGTTCCCGTGTTGTCTCTCTTCTTCACACTTGTCTGGGACCTGATCCAGACGAATCGAACCCAGGTGCAATGTCAAGCTGTCATGTTTGTTAGAAACCGGCGAGAGGTGTATGTGTGTGTGGTTAGCCTCAGATGCACACCTAATCATGGCATGTCCTTTCTTGCCTCTGCCTCCAGGTTGTCAGGATCCATGGCAGAATGAGGCCACACAAACGCTCTGATCAAAGTGATGCCGTTATGTCTGCTTACTGCTTACTGTATTGATGTCGGTGAAGTCGTCTTGTGTCGTCGCTAGACTTTGGATTGATTTGGCTTGAGAATATTTCACCAGCTATTACTGTTGCAGAAATCCATATTGAGTGGGCTGACTGACCTGCAGGGATTTTAATATATGGTCCACCACACAAAATCTATAATAAAATCTAATCTACTTAAGCCTATTTTAACACATTTATTATATGAGACCAGAGATGTTAATGAGTCTGGCAGGTATCGAGTGAGGAATACTCCAGGCAGACTGTTGAGAAGATTAATACTACTCACCACATTCATTAACTCATAATCCCTTGCTCATCAAAAGTCTGTTTTTAAAAAAGTAATGGAACATTTTGCATTGCAGCTTATTTGATTTTAAAATCAAACACGGAGGAAAGCCAGTGTTATTATACAGTGCCCCCTAGAAGTATTTGGACATTAATATGTATATATATTTATATATCATTTAAAATAACCAATCCAAATGACATTTACTTTAAACAAAGTAAAAAATCTGCTAAGAGACAACAGAGAGTGAACGCAAGAATAACGAGAGGAAAAAACTAAAATAGTATGGCAGGCAATTATGGGCCGTTCACACAGAACACATTTTTGATTTCCATTACGCTGCTCTTCCATTGTTTTTCTGTGTAAACATGTGCCAGATGATGGGTGCTTAAGTTAAAAGTTGTTCAACTTTTAAAATGTGTCTCTAGAGCTTGTTTTTTTTTTTTTTATTCCAGAAGCCTGCGCCTCACATTTTTAAACGTAAAAACATGTTCTGCTCTGAGTCTCATTCAGACTCAAGACAGCAACTTCTTCAGTAAAGGGGATGTATTTGTTCAAAGAAGTTCAACCAATGAAATGCTGCTTCAAAACCCATACTTGAATGTTATTGGCTCCTGCTAGAGTCAGTAATTGAAGGCAAGAAATCAGTCACACACTTAAAAAAGGAAGTGACCTCAGTGTGAGTGAGTGATTTGTTCACTTAAAATATTTGTTCAAAAACACAGATTCTTGATTTGTTCAGAAATACAGCATATGTGTACATCTCCCAATTCCGTTTTCCTGCTTCTGCCATGGAATAAAAAAGCTTAATTTAGATTTTGAAGCAATTGTTCAAGGAATTGAGAGTTTATAGCTCATAATCTTGAGTTTATATCTGATTATTTTTTTGACCATTTTCCAGTTTAAAAACACTTTTAGCTTTTAGTTTTAGTATCTCTTATGAGACTGTAAACGTTTTCACTTTATGAGAAAAATATTGTGAACGAATCAAAAGCCAAACATTTTCAATCACTGCTCACCTCATCACTACTAAATATTCAATCACCCCGCTGTAGCTCGTTTATCTCAGAGACTTCCAAATTCATTCTTTCTCTCTTTTAATTACACTCTCATCCTATTAGACATGTCTGGAGGGCAAGGCCCAAGAGTGCCAAACAGAACAGAACGGGACACATGATGTCCTCTCTCATTCACTGGTGTTTAGTCTAATTACAGGAAAGAGCTGATTACTACACCTCTGCACTATATACAGAATCCACTAAACCTAAACTGCAGACAGTTCTTGTTTCTCTCATAATCGTTTGGATGCACACTGAGGCAAGACATTTTAGCTGTCTTTTGATCCCTCAGCTACCTAAACAGAGTTAAACATTACACATTACCGCTGTATGGACCCCATAAACCTGCGACATAACCATAAAATCTAGGACAGAATGTCACCCCCACTGACTTTGTCTGGAGCCATGGAGTGGATAAAGAGGCCAAGGCAGACAGGAATGAGCTTATTGGAGCCAGTGAGTCACTAGAGCAGCCAATATAGAGCATTATCTCTGGCCATGACACTGCCCTTGTGTTTTGTGGAAAAAGCTTGTGTTTTGTGGAAAAAGCTGGTCTTTTCTTGGTCACTTGGGTCTGTCTGTAGCCTCACTGTCTCTGTCACAATCATGGGCTCTAGGCTGGTTTTGCTTCAGGACC